AAAAAAAAATGAGTATTTAAAAATTATAATTGAATTGCAATATATTTAAAATTATGTCTAATGCATTATTATTTTTCTGATCGTAATGAAATTTTTCTAAATTTTTGTGAAGCCATTTTGTTCTAATATTATAAATTTTCTCACTTGGTTATGACAAACTCGTATTTTAAATTTTTCCTGTAAATATTTTTGCAGGCTATTAAATAAAACATGCTTACCTCTTTTTGTAATTATTTTTTCGAAAAATTAACATATTTTAAAAAATTAACATATTAACATAGTTAAAAATTCACATATTAACATATTTTAAATTTAAAAAAGACTTTTTTTATGACAAACCTTACTAACGATGAACTTTATTTTTGTGGAAAGAGGGCTATATTATTTAAACACAACGAATTTTCAGTTGATAATTTTTTACTATACTATTTTATTTTTTATACAATAGTTTTATTAAATCCCAGCTTGATTTACTCATTCAAGGATAGTTAAATATTAATTTGAAATTTAGTTGATTTACTACTTAATCGACGACTTATTCATAGTCCAGTGCTAATCTGCGCAAGAGAGTGAAAATTCGAATTCCACGATGGCCTGCGTTACAGTCATTGCTTTCAGGAATTACTACGAAGTTTCCCGGTTTTCCTTTCATATGACTCGCAAGACGGTAGTTACTCCGGAAAAGTTTCGAAGAATTCGATTTACATCCCTTCATCCCCTTGAAAAAAATTCTTGCTATTGTATAATTTAGGTAAAATAATTAAGATTTGCTATGGCAAAAATACTTTGTCGTAGTTAAAATATGGATATTTTCTTGGTTTCTCGTCAACGTTGCAAAATGGTAGTGTAAATCTCCATTATAAAATGCTCCAGGAAAGAACATTGGTACACAGAAAAAAAAGTTATGATTTCCAATTCATATTAAGGAATCAAAAAAAAAAAAAAATAAATCAAATCAAATCACTCAAGAAAATGATAAATTTACATCCCACATTATATGATCTTAAATTGATTCAAACCAACAACAGAAAACTGACTAAGTTTTTAACAAACTTCAAATTGTTCTGAAGTTCTATTTCTGAAAATTCTGTCTAAAAACTGACAACAACAAAATAATAATGATAAAAATAAATATTCTGAATAACAACAACAACAAAAAAAAAAAAAAAAAAAAAAAGAGGGAGATAGGGTTGATTTTATTTTATCCCTGCTATCAAAAATAGAATTTATGCTTTTCAAATATTTACATACTTCTAAATACATTCTAGTTTGTTTTTGTAAATGGTTTTATAACCGTGTAAACTCAGCAGAAAAAAATATTAAGTATTTAATTTTTTTATAAATGTTTACTTGCTGGCTTATATTTTTCTTTATTAGATAATGTATTTTTTTCGACCATTTATTGATAGATAAATGTCGACCATTTATTATGAAGTCAATTTCGAACTTGTTATGTCCGATTTTTAATTGTTCATCAAAAACTGTATCTTGTTATTGGGAGAAAAAATCCTATTAAAATTTTAATTTTTTTGTGAATGTTTAATAAATGTTTTTAAGGAGTTCAAACTATTATTTTTTTGTTTCGGTTTTATAATGTATACGTTTTCGAACATTTAAGACTAAATAAATTTGGAAACTTGTGATTAGAAACGATTTTTTTTAGTTTTCTACAATCCGCGAAGTCACTGTTTTATTATTATTGAAAAAAGAACAATTAAGGTCTTAATTTTTTGTGAATGTTTTTAAGGAGTTCGTTATTATTTTATTTTCTGTTTTATAATGCGTTCGTTTTCGAACATTTATGACTAAATAAATTTCGAACTTGCGGTTCAAAACGATTTTTTAGTTATCTAAAATCAGAAAAGACTATGCCTTACTATTGAAAAAAGAACAATTATGGCTTTTTTTTTTTGGTAAACATTTGCGGAAATTTTTTAGTGAACTTCAATTATTTTTGATTTTGTTTGATAACTTTCGGTAGAATTCTATTTTTTTACAATGGAGAGAAAAAACAGAACAGCAGGGAGGGGTAGGGGGGGCTTCCATGAAGGTGTATTGTTCCGTTGTCCTGCAGGGCAGGAGTCGTAAAATCGATTTGTGACTATCGTGCTCACTCGTGCAAGAAGCGAATTCGAATCACGTGTATGAACTGACGCCCTCACTGCTTAGCAATTACTACACTGAAAGTACCGCTGTTTTAACACATTGTTCGCCGATGACAGCTCGACCTGTACCCAGGGCCGGATTTTCCTATAGGCTAACTAGGTTTTAAGCCTAGGGCCTCAAGATCAAGAGGGGCCTACATTCAAATTGTTAGCAAAAATTGAATTACTTAAGTTCCATTTTCGATTTAGTTTAAAACTTAAAATTCATAATAATTAATACCTAAACTTTAAATGCGAATTATTATGACATAAATTTATCTGAATTGAATTTGCTTTTATCTTCAATGTATTCAATATATTTAACTTAATTTGATAGAAAATATGATTATTTTTATTGCATATTTTATTTTCGTTGTCAAAGATTTTTATTATTTGAATTTTGTTTCTTTGTAAATGTTGTGTGTTATGTTTGATGAGTTATTGTTACAAGTACTCTATAGGGTGCTGAGACTAAATGTCCAAATAAGTGTTCTCGACTTTTTTTTATTTTTTTATTTATTACTAGTGGCACATTTTTTATAAAGATTAGTACCAATCACAGCATGTTTCATTTAGCATATTGATATATATCAGAGTAATGATGTATTTTATTATCTCTCATGTAATTTAGAGACTTAAAAATGGGAGGTGAAAGGGCCTCATAAGTGGAATAGCCTAGGGCCTCTTTTCATCTAAATCGGGCCCTGCCTGTACCGGTAAATTTTAAGGATAGAATGTATTTTTGTATCGTTAGTTTGTTTAAATTTTCATTTAAAAATCGTTAGAATTAGTAAAAAAATCTTTCTTGTTTTGTGTTTGCTATTTTTATCAAATATGCAGTAAATTGGACAATTCTATTTATTTCGAGATTATTATATTTTGTCAAAAGAAAAAAAAAATACTGCTTATAGATATTGCAGTTGTAATAACCATTGTAGTGTTTTCGTTGTTTGTGCAGCTGGATCTGGGTGCGGTTGGTTGAGACACAGGTTTGACAACTCGCAGCTTTATTGACTCGCGCACAAACACCACATATATATACAATTGAAAATAGACAATATTGAACAATTTAAAGACATCTCATTAAAGATTCGTGGAAGGATTCCATTTTAATGCGAAAATAAAGATATTTCCTCTCGGGATGAGAGATTGTAAACTAAATGGTTTTCAGCTGAAGCGTCAGTTGCGCTATACTTCCTCGCGGGTGAGAGTATCGAAGCCTACTAAAATTTCTCATGAAAAACACAGGGGTTTCTCGCTAGCTACCACGCTGTTGCAGTGCTTAGGAGGGAGCACGCTTACACTATAACGTTTATTTATGGATTTATAAAGCACTTATAAAACTCAATTTTTATACGGGATTATTGTGAGCAGAAATATATAAAAGCCCTTCTCAATGAATTCTTGAATGTTTTTTTTTCTTTCTAATGCAGCTGGCAAACACTTAGACAGCTTGGTCTTGGATGCCTTAAGGCAAGCGCTGCACAGACGTTGCTCACTTTGCATTACCCAAGAGGCGCGTGTAACTAGAAGATAAGCCACGGACGCGGAGTAACAATACCCTCGCAACTTTCTACGATCCTAATAGACCGGGACCTACGGTTTAAAGTGGATTTCGAACCACTACACACATCCATGGCACCGCCGGGACCGGAACCCGAAACCTGTGGTACCGAGCGCCAGAGCGCTAGCCACTCGGCCATTCAGGCCCCTATTCTTGAATGTATACACTTTATTTTACCGATAATGTTTTCATTGATTTAATGTTTGTTCCTTTTTTAATTTAGATATACAATTCCCAAATGGAAATTATTTGTATACTTTCCCCTTGCGTATAACACAAATGGGATCCTTTTACCGTTAAAAAAAAAAACAAAAAAACTACTGAAGGGCATTCTTCATCCTGTTTCGCTTTTTTAATTGAGTCCACAGCAACCCTTTTTCCATGTCGTGGAACATATCGGTGAAAGTGACGAAATGGTTGGAAGATTCACACTGCTGGTGAATCATCAGGCTACTGCCATGAAATTAGAGACATCATGCATAAAATATAATTATTTATACAGGGTGTTTGGAAGCTTTTATGACGAAATAACGTGCATCATAAAGAGGAACACTATTTGCTCTGGAAGTGAATGTGGCATTCTATTCTGTATCACATTAGATGTCCAAGTTATACTTTTCTTTCACAGAATGAGAATCAACTGAATCATAGGATGAGAATCAACTGAATCACAGGAATGAGAATCAACTGAATCATAGAATGAGAATCAACTGAATCATAGAATGAGAATCAACTGAATCACATAATGAGAATCAACTGAATCGCAGGATGAGAATCAACAAAACCACAAAGAGCACAATCCCATTTATTTACATGAAAGAGACATTTCAAGTGGCGTTCAAAGGTGCACAATTCACGTCGCTAAATAAAAAAAACCCCTCTGGCTGGGACATTCACATCGCAGAGATGAGGGAAACATCATTGAAAGGATTAGGTTATGCAAATTGTTCAACAATTGGAAGACCGAGGGAAAAGGTGGATGGAGGGTGTCGAAGAGGATCTTGGACAACTGGAAATGATTAACTGCAAGAGATTGGCATTGGAGCGAGACAGACGGAGAGCTGTTGTGTTGGAGGCTGAAGGCTGTAATGCCAGTAAAGAAGAAGAAAAAAAGCAGCGTTTCTTTTCGAAAAGTCGTGATATCGGCATTTTATGTATGGATATCCACAGGCGTCTCATACTTGTATGACATATGCTACTATGAAATTATATAGTTCTTTGGTCGCCCAACGACCTTAAACTCTTGCCTTTGAATGCTTTGGTTTATTGCCTATTGAATTATTAAGGAGCCAACGTCCGTACCGTGCTGAATATACCGGTTCTCGTTAGATCACCGAAGTCAAGCATCATTGGGCGCGGTCAGTACTTGGGTGGGTGACCACCTGGGAACACCGCGTGCCGTTGGCATTCACACATTGGGGACCTGAATGGCCGAGTGTCTAGCGCTCGGTGCCACAGGTTTCGGGTTCGACCCCCGGCGGTACCATGGATGTTTGTAGTGGTTCGGAATCCCCTTCAGGCCGTAGGTCCCGGTCTCCTATGACTGTAAGAGCGTCACGGAGCCAAAGTCAGACTTCTACCTACGGGCAGCTCCATCAGAACAGAAGCTGCTTCCTTCCCCTTCAACCATGAGTACGTATGGGCTCGTGGGCCTGGCCAGACAAGTGGGATAAGAAACAACAACAACATTATTAAGGAAAATTGAAATGAATTGAATTCCGTGGATATTATATCGATATCGAGCACAACATCGATATTGTATCCACGAAGTTCACATTTACAAAAAAAAGTTATTGTAAAAATCAAGAAAATATTAATTGCAAGCCAGTGAAAGCAAGGAAACAGATGCAGTATTAAAACTACATAAGGAAGTCACCGGTAGAGCAGAATTAGTTAATGATATTATTTCTATTTTTCGACAGGGAAGTACCATTTGTAAGAACACTTAAAAATCGATTATCGATGACACATTTAAAAAGTTGGCATTTATTTTAAAAATAATTTGGTGTATTCTAGGGTGGTCAATTAGATGTCTGACGTCTTCATTTCTAAAGTGCCATCAGTGGTATTTTAGTAATGGTAAATTGGTACCCATTCGTAAAAAATTATTTTCAAATTTTTGAATGTAACTGCTGTCATCTGAAACACTAAAAACGTGCCACTTTTAGAGAATAGCGTATGCTTCAGCTGGTTTTCTAGTATTCTTTGGTAGTTCTAATATTCTTTGGTAGTTCTAATATTCTTTGATATTTTTAATATTCTTCGAGCCAACGGCCGTACTGGTTCTCGTTAGATCACCGAAGTCATTGGGCGCGGTGGTAGTTCTAATTGGCATTTTGGGACCTGAATGGCCGATTTTTTGGCGCTCGGTGCCAATTTCTTCGAATATTTCCATGGATGTTTGTATTTCGGAATCCACTTTATTCTAGGTTCTTCTTTGACTAGTAAGATTTTAGTCACGGAGCCAAAGTCGGGCTTCTACCTACGGGTGCTCCATCACAACAGAAGCTGCTTCCTTCCCCTTCAATCATGAGTCCATAATATTCGTTTGGCCAGCCAAGTGGGATAAGTTCTAACAACAACAAACAACAACAACAATATTCTTCGATATTTCTAGTATTTTAATATTCTATTATTCTTTGATAGTTCTAATATTTTAGTATTCTTCGATAGTTCTAATATTCTTCGATAATTTTAATATTCTAATGTTCTAATATTTTAATTCTAATATTCTTTGATAGTTCTAATATTCTTTGGTATTTCTAATATTCTTTGATATTTCTAATATCCTAATATTCTTCGATATTTCTAGTATTCTAATATTCTTTGATAGTTCTAATATTCTAATATTCTTCGATAGTTTGAATATTCTAATATTCTTTGATATTTCTAGTATTCTAATATTCTTTGATAGTTCTAATATTCTAGTATTCTAATATACTTTGATAGCTCTAATATTTTCTTTTTATTTACTTTTGTTATTTTTCAGTTTTTAATTCTTTTTTGAAAAAAAAAGTGAATTACTTCATTAAATAATTTTTATGATTATTTTATTTAATGCTTTTTTTTTGTACCCTGCAATATTTGATAAGAAATTATATACGGATCTATTTTGGAGTTCGAATTTTATTCGGTATTTCAACTGAATATTTTTTTTTAAAAAACAAATAAATAATATATTTTAAATTTATTTAAAAAGAGAAAATAATGAGTATTTCAAAATTGGAAGTAAATTGAAATATATTTTAATTATGTTATTCGTAATTAAGGTTTTCTATAGGACATTGACGAACCTATTAGTAGTTGTCGTTGCTGCTTCTATTCGCTGGAAATTTAAATACAGCATTGGCGATATGCTATGTCGATATGAAAGGAATGACATCACAAGTGGCAACTTGCGCTTGTTGGACATGTTTTGAAATCACTTTTGATGGAAAACCAGCTTTCAGTGCTTTTTGTTGTGTCTTATCTCACTTGGTAGACATCTAAAACATGCCCACGAACCCGCGTGGACTCATGGAAGGAGGAAGGCAGCTTCTGTTGTGTGGAACACCCGTAGGTAGAAGTCTGACCGGCTCTGTGTCGCACTACAGTTCTATGAGACCGGGACCTACGGCTGAAATTGAATTCCAAACAACTACAAACATCCATTCCCCCGCCGGGAGTCGATCCCGAAACCTGCATCACAGAGCGCTAATAACTCAGCCATCAGGCCCAGTGCTTTATATATATGAAATATATATTTTTTTCTTCTAATGCAGCTGGCAAATAGACCGTGATCTTTTTTTTACATAAAAATATGTTACTCACTTTGCATTACCCAGGGGCGCGTGTAACTTGATGGTAAGCCACGGACGCGGATGTTTAACAATGCCTCCGCAGCTAGCGCTCTACTATCCTATTTTCGAGGACCGGGACCTGCCATGGGTTAAAGTGGATTCGGAACCACTTTAAACCCCCTAATAGGGCAAAGCGTAGAGCGTTGAACCCGATACCTGTGGTACCCGAGCGTCCGAGCTTTTCCATTCGGCCATCAGGCGCCTTCTGGGTAAATATATTTTCATAATAATTTTATGCTACTTTAGAGACGGGTTTTTTTTTTTACGAAAAAAATATGTAGCATAACTTTCCACTGACGTTGCAATACATTATTTGTCACCACATAGATGTTTAGCAAATGAGTCAACTGATTTTTATACCAGGTCTCCAAGCTTTCAGCTGCATGTTTTGTACGAGGGACAAAGCTAAAAAAAAGTATTTTTATTGCGTTTTTGTCAATTATTGCGTGACTAAAGCTATTACTTATCTCACCATCGATCCATCCACTCTCGGTCACAGTTAAAGGGAAGAATTTTAGGTAAACTGTTTGTCAACCCTTAGATATTGTTCAGTGAACATGCGCAGTAGAAAGAAAAAAATGTTGCTGAAAAGTCATTTTGGCATATATATATATATATATATATATATAAATATAATAAATGAAATAGTTTTAATAACAGAATAATTTTTTAAAATTTCGCGCTCATTCTCTTTTCTAGAATAAAAATAGTTCGAAAATTTATGTCGTTTGGCTTATCGTTATATATTTATTTATATCGTTTGGCTTATCGATATATATTTATTTATATCGTTTGGCTTATCGTTATATATTTATTTATATCGTTTGGCTTATCGTTATATATTTATTTATATCGTTTGGCTTATCGTTATATATTTATTTATATCGTTTGGCTTATCGTTATATATTTATTTATATCGTTTGGCTTATCGTTATATATTTATTTATATCGTTTGGCTTATCGTTATATATTTATTTATATCGTTTGGCTTATCGTTATATATTTATTTATATCGTTTGGCTTATCGTTATATATTTATTTATAGGCTTATCGTTATATCTTTATTTATATCGTTTGGCTTATCGTTATATATTTTATTTATATCGTTTGGCTTATCGTTATATATTTATTTATATCGTTTGGCTTATCGTTATATATTTATTTATATCGTTTGGCTTATCGTTATATATTTATTTATATCGTTTGGCTTATCGTTATATATTTATTTATATCGTTTGGCTTATCGTTATATATTTATTTATATCGTTTGGCTTATCGTTATATATTTATTTATATCGTTTGGCTTATCGTTATATATTTATTTTCGTTTGGCTTATCGTTATATCTTTATTTATATCGTTTGGCTTATCGTTATATATTTATTTATATCGTTTGGCTTATCGTTATATATTTATTTATATCGTTTGGCTTATCGTTATATATTTATTTATATCGTTTGGCTTATCGTTATATATTTATTTATATCGTTTGGCTTATCGTTATATATTTATTTATATCGTTTGGCTTATCGTTATATATTTATTTATATCGTTTGGCTTATCGTTATATATTTATTTATATCGTTTGGCTTATCGTTATATATTTATTTATATCGTTTGGCTTATCGTTATATATTTATTTATATCGTTTGGTAATTCGACTCGATGAGTTCATTTCGATTTTCAAACATAACATTTAAAATTGTTTTGTAAGCATGCGCAATAGAAAGAAAAAAATGTAACCGAAATGTCGTTTCAAAAGATATTTTTTTTTAAGTAATAAAATAATTTTTAATAATAGAATAATTTCTTGAGAAATTTCGCCCTCCTACTCTATTTTAGAATAAAAATAGTTCGAAATTTTATATCGTTCAGATTATTAAGTCAGTTTTCGTAATTCGACTCGATTAATTCATTTCGATTCTCCAATATATTTAAAATTGTTTTGTCAGCATGCGCAAGAGAAAGAAAAAATGTAGTTAAAAGTATGTAGTTACATTCGGGCAAATATTTTTTTAATAATGAAATAATTTCTTTAAGTTTCGCGCTCTTCCTCTCTTTTAGAATAAAAATAGTTCGAAATTTTATATCGTTTGGCTTATTAATACAGTTTTTATAATTCGACTCGATGAGTTCATTTCGATTTTCCAACATAATATTTAAATTTGTTTCGTGAGCATGCGCAATAGGAAGAAAAACATGTAGCTGAAACGTTGTTTGGGCAAATATTTTTTTAATAATAAAATAGAATATTTTTTATTAAAAGGCAAATATTTATTTAGGTTTCTCGCTCTTTCTCTCTTTTAGAAAAAAATGGCTCGAAAATTTATTTCGTTTGATTTATTAATTCAGTTTCCGTAATTGGACTGGATTAGTTAATTTCGATTTTCTAACATTTTTTCGTTCTAATGCAGCTGGCAACCACTTAGACAATTATCTTGGATGCCTTAAGGCAAGCGCTGCACAGACATTACTCACTTTGCATGACCCAGGAGTGCGTGTCACTTGAAGATAAGCCACGGACGCGGCTTTACGATCCTATTAGACCGGGACCTACGGTTTAAA